TTAGGCTTTCACATTATTCACATTATCTTAAAAGATACTAGAAGATTTGCGGGTTATCACCGTGTTTCTATCCATGTAGTTTCTGGTTGTGGTGATTGCGCAAATAAAGTGATGATTCTTTGATTGTTGATGTGCACAAATAAAATGCTGTTAGTCCGCTATACATTTGCGAATCTGTTGTTCGCTGTTCACAGATACATCAGAATAAATAAATACATGAATCAGAATAAATTACAAAGGAGGATGTTGAATTATAGTATCACAGGTTTAATTATAATTATAGATGTATGTATCTGTGGACAACGAATGACAGATTCGCGAATATATAGCGCACTAACAGCATTTTATTTGTAACAATCAAAGAATCATGGCGCAGAAGGGCGATATTTATCTATACCCGATTCTACAATCAATTCAGGTGATATGCTATATTTTCTACAAGAAACGATAAAGTTCATGCAAAAAATTTTTAATGATTTAATTGTATATTGCAGTTACGCTTTATGTCAACCATAAATGTCACTGTGGGCCATATTTTGATATTCGAAAAGTAAAAGTCCTGCCAGCGCAATTTGGTCCTGGTCCTATGACAAATATTGCAAGAGACATCTTCCAAGCATTTTTAATGGCAGCCTTGAATCCCAAGCAAATGTTGGGTTTACTGAGAAATGGTGATGGCGAAACTGTAACTTTGAGTATGGGAACTTTGAAAAAACCTGCAGCTGTTAAATTATCTCATTTTTTGGAAGAAGAAGACTTCTATACATACATTAGACAGCAACTGGAGGACCTTCGTACATGTGAATACATGTTAACTAAAAGAAAAGAATCTTGTAGCAAATGTCTCACATCTTTGCTACAACAACCACAATCCACTAATGATGAAGAAACAAATGATTCTATAGGAGAAAAACGAAGGTGGTCATCGGAAAGTCAACAAAACTTAACGCCAACTCAGCAACAGCATGTTCAACAAACTCCTGTGCAGAGTATAAATCATTCTACAGAATCATCTCCTACATCTGCGAAGCAACCTCGCAAATCTATTCCCGGTATTTCATATTTATTATAAAGCTTTGTTATAACATAGTCCACCAAGAAAATCTGCGACAAGCAGGGCCAGTATTTCTTAATAAATTCAAGGTTGCTGAATCCAAATCCGCCAGCGAAAGATGCCCATCACGTCAGGTTTTTGAGATAAATTGAATAATATTAGCAAAAAACAGCTTTTTTATGATATTTATCACTTTTTTTGTGACCAAACAAAATTTTATTTTTTAATTTTATTAACGCCATTACTCTTCACCTTTAAAAGAAATTTGCATTTTTTACTGTGCGATTTTTTGTTATTGAGTTGTGAACGTTTGTTGAAATGTAAAATAGCGGATCCAAATTAATGAATTGAAATCAGAAAATAGATAAATTTATATCAAAATAATATCTATTTTCATCAATTTAGTCCATGTTAAGTCTACCATTTCGAATTTCGTAATTTTGAATTCAGATTCATAAGCAGCGACTGCCATTTTACATTTCAGAAAATGTTCATAATTCGAAAAAAATGCACAGTAAAAAATGGAAATTTCTTTTAAAAGTGAAGATTAACTCTTTAGAATGGCGTTAATGAAATTGAAAAACAAAAATTTTGTTTGACTATAATAAAACGGTAAATATGGCAAACAAAATGTTGTTTATACTATTCATAATTTTTCTCAAGAACCTAATGCGATGGATATCTTTCGCTGGCTGGATTTGGATTCAGCGACTTTGAATTTATTAAGAAATACTGGTTCTGCTTGCCGCAGAAAAAAAAAGATCAAATTTTATTGAACAGTTTAATTAATGATAACCTGCGAATTATAAAGATATTTATAATTATTATTTAAGAACATATAGTAGATAGTTATATTACTTTATTGTTTAGGATAATATAATACGCTATCTTGAAAGCTTGAATATGAAATTAATTAGCATTTTTGTGAAGTGACATACTGATTAAGAAATATATTTACGTATAGAATTGGAAGCAGCGACGTCTACTACTCAATCAAATGAAGCCTCTGGAAGTCGCACTCTTCCCATTGAACCAGCAGAATGGACTATTGAAGATGTAATACATTTTATTGCCATTACAGATCCAATATTAGGACAACATGCAGATTTATTCAAGAAGCATGTGAGTTAAATATAAAGGCATTCAATATTTTACTTTATCATAAACGACAATAATTTTTAGGAAATTGATGGCAAAGCCCTACTTCTTCTCAATAGTGATATGATGATGAAGTATATGGGACTAAAACTTGGGCCAGCACTTAAGATTTGTAATTTGGTAAACCGTATTAAAGGTAGAAGACATACACATATGTGATTTTATCATATATAAATAATGTATGATCTGAAATACATGCGTTTTATGCATTTCAATCTATGAATTAAATTCGTTGTCAATAAGAAGAATTTATGTGGTTTTTTATTATCTTTTGAATTATATTCTAATATTAATTTTAAAATTTAGATTAGGAAACATGAAAATTAAACTTGAAAATTTTTAATTCGTCAGACTATTATTTTATTATTTCAGAAAAGTATAAATTTGTATTAATTAGTTGTAATACAAGTATTTTTTAAATAAATTTACCATTGCCCAATAAGTATTAGATTAGCATAATGGGATTCCATGTATTAGATAAGCAGTGATAAAACATAAATCTAATATAATTTTTACATATTCTTATATGTGTATACGCACACTCGCACGTACGCGCGCGACAGACACACACACACACACATACACGCATTCACACACTCACAAGAGATAACGATGTTTCATATACCTACTTGTAAATATAGCGTGTTTTCAGCAACGGAATACAATCATACACTGTATGACACAGTAATAGCGTCGACTTGTAGCTTAATAGCAAAATGTTGCTTTTCTATTTCAGAGTGAAAAAGGTATCGTATATCTATGTCCGAATATAATCTTGAAATTTTTTACCAGAGTATTACTCCTAGAAAAATAAATGGTAATGTAAAAAATTTGGTGTTCATAAAGTATAAAAAGAGGACACAGTATTTTAGTCGTGTATGATTGTATCGGTTATATTATAGCTGAAAAACATAAATCGTACACTGTGTTACACAGGGTTGCCTGTATACGTTGCTGGAAAACATCTATTGTCGTATCGTATGTTATGTTGCAGTGCTATGAAATACATATATTGTAAACGAGATATTTGTCTTGTACTACTTTTATAAGTAATTCATGATTAATCACATTAAAACTTTTTTAATACTTTATCTTGGTTTATATACATTATGACATTAGTGCTATATTTAGTTTGAGCATTATTTATACATACATCCCAATCGACTTAATATTTCAACAGTTTTTTAAATTAAAAAATTAATGTTTTCTCCTAAAATGTAAGTAGATCATAAATTTGCATTACACTATAAACGAATTTAAACATTTAAACACATATACCTTCTAACGTATAAAAAAATTAATACAATATGTGTTGATTGCTTTTTTCCATTGTGTGATAGTTTTTTTTTTATTATATAAGATAAACTACAAATATTTCGGAACATTTTAAAAGTTACATTATAAAATTAGTTAACTATGTATGACTTATCATTACATTACTACTGTGATATTCTCCGTAACTTGTACAGCAATCTCTCATGTTTCGCAATAGAATCTGCAAATAAATTACAGTTTATACACAATACATGAAAATTACTATCTCTTTATTTATAGCTCCATAAATTTATTTTCGTTTTCATTTCTATCATAAAATCCAAAAAGTATCATATCTTTTATTTATATGAAATTATTCTTGTGAATATACAAAGATTAAATGTATGTTATGATTTATACATTGTCTCAAAAATTTTTAAGCTTTTTTTTTACTATAGAACTATGATTGTTAAAATACAGAATTATTTTCTAGAAAATTTACTTTCTATAGAGTTGTATTTCTCCCTCTACGTTACATTATTTATTTACTATAATAAAAAATGGGAGTTTTTGAGAAAAATAATATAATAAAAAATGAATATAATCTCAAGATATTCTAGTACTTGATTAGCCGTGTTCACTTAATGTAATTTTCTGTGATGTTTTTTCTTCTGAAATTGAAAATAAAGTTGAAAGGACATTTAAAGTTCCCGATTTTAGTCGTCGCGACCATAGCGGAATAATGTTTCCATGTTTTTACGTCATTTACTTTTTACGACTATTTCTTGATTCATGAGAGATAAGAAATAATTTCTGTTCATTTTTAAAGTTTAAATGCGATTATTTTATTTTTTTAAATTCTCTTTATTCATGGGTCTTCTATCTCTTTATTTACAAATGGTATGCAAGAAATTGTAATAAAGTATATATTTCTCAAATTATGAAATATATATTTACAATATAACTATAAATAATTTATTTTGTTTAAATAACGAGAAAAGTTATATGAATAATTATATTAACATCTTTGATTGTTTATAATCTTTCGATTATTTATTATTAAAATATTTTAATTTAAATAT